TGGGAAATCCCTCATGCCTGAGGCCTAACTCATAACAGAGGCACGGAAGGCTGCTCTACAAACATCACCTGAATAAACCTGGACTTGCTGAAAGATCTTCCGCGATGAGTAGCTAGAGACCAATAAGACCAACAGAAGAAACCAGAATAGCCGCTGGGTCGTCATGTCTATGTGGTTGTGGTACCTCAGAACATGGAACCCTCATCCACTTCATCCAAAACTGTAGACTTACGCTCACCAAGCCGCATGCAGCCGGCAGAACATGCCTGCCTGAGGTAGGGCTTGGGTTTCCGAGTGTAGGCTTTAGGGATTCAGAGCACATGGGTTTACTGCGGTTTAGGGTTCCGTGCTGGGTTCCGTGCTGGAGTGTGAACGTTACGATTCCTGGCATTTCCTACGTTTGAAATTCAAGGCTATAGGCCAAATACATTGGCGTCAACATGCCCCTGCTCCTTGGGGGAAGAACATCTGGAGAGAAACATATGTAGGGGCCTAAATGGTCTCATGCAGAGAAATAAGGGTGCAAGGCATTAGGACCATCAAAGGGTGTTGATCATGATTAGCCAGGTTACTTCACTAGGCGAGCCTTCAAGGTTCGCATCTTGAATAAACATGCCGGAATCACGATAAGGTATTGCAGTACATCTCACATACCCTCACCGGATTTGAACATTTTGGAGGTAGGTTCTGATTGTTAGCCTTTGAAAAATGAGAGTCCCAGGTGCTGTTCTCAGGTAGGCACTGCAGGTGGATGCCTACATAAACTTCATGTATAACCCAATTAGGCTCAGAAAGGGCATTTTGTGAGCATTATGCCTCATATGGGGAGATGCGCTGGGTAACTACCCAATGGCAAGCGTCCCTGCTCCAAATGGGGAAGGCATAATCCGCGCGCCTAGCAAACCCAATCACTTTTTGCCTGCTCGGGTTACTAGAGTTGGTTCGGCTTTTGATTCTTTGTGTGGGATTATGGTCCTTCTTAGGTACATAGAATATGGGTTATATGGGGATCTTATTCTAATATACCCAAAGCCATATTCTATCTACTTAAGGGGGACTATAATCCCTACACCCTATGTTAGCCCTAGTTCAACCCTAGACCTGAGACCTTCTACTCAGACCCAAAACCGTAAAGTCTAGAACCTGACCCAGCGACACTGAACCCTACATCCCAAAAGCGAAGCTCTGAACCCCCAAACCCCAGACTTAGGGGGTTTAGGGTTTAGGGCTTGGGGCTCATGATCCGAAACTCTAAGCTTAAAAATTCGAAGTCCCAATAAGAGATTCAGATTCAGATTAAGCCGCTCTCGGATGGTCAGCCGCACCGTGCCGGGCTCCTGTGAAAACATGGTCCCTCTTAAAAGGGTCCTTTAGGTTTCAGATAGGGTGCGCATGGGGATATGGCACTGGGCTTAGGGAGTTATAGGGTTTGGGATATAAATATATAGGATTGTGACGTACTTGGAGTAGAATGATGCAGAATCAACACAAACAAAACAAAATGAACAATGACATCCAAACCGGTTCAGGATATACAAGCCCTAAACCCTAAACCCTAAGCCCTAAACGCTACATCCCAATCCCTGAACCATGGGGGGCGGTGATTAGCCATAAGTTGGAGGTCATAGATCCCTAAACCCTTGAACCCTTTTAAACCTAAACCCTTAAGGAAAAGAGCCAGGCTTCTAAAAATCATGGGTCTTTTTCCACGTCGGGATGAGACGATTGGGGTCCCTAAACCCTAAATCCTAAGTCCTGACCCTAAATCCTAACCCTGCACCCCCAAACCCTACCCGCCCCATGGAAATCCGAGTGGAAGCGGATTCACGAGCCTGGGGGATTCTGGGGTATGCCTGACAGATTGTGAGGGTCCACTGAGGAGTCTGCAGAAAATTCCTCTCTAAGGGCTTTAGGATTTAGGGTCTAAGCCTATCGCCGATGGATCAAGGACTCTGAACTTTCCAAAACCCTCTGGCCACCATTAACTTTATCCTTGCTTACCTCACCCCCGTCACCTGCAAATCCTGCCCAACCAAATCCCTAAACCCTAAAGCCTAAACCCTAAACCCGAAACCCTAAACCCAAAACCTCAACCTTCATTGCAAAAGCCTGAACCGCCCCTATGCAGAGGCTTCTCAAGTTTCACTCATGAGAAGGAAGCCAGGGCCAACTGCACAGGTTTAGGGTTTAGGGTTTAGGGCCCCCCACCCTGTAATAGTGGTATAATAGGAATAGAAGAGGACCCTAATATAATCCTTATTATCCCCTCTAGTCACTATTACTGGGTGCGGGCTCCACCTAAGGAATAGCAATAACAGACATAGAAATCAAGATAGTAGTAATGGTAAGTAAAAAATAGTCATAACTGTAGTAACTGTACTAGTTGTAGCAATAATATAGTAGTAGTCGTCGTAGTAGTCATCAGTAAAACTGCGCAGTGATATCCAGAAGCTTCCATGGCACATAAACCGCACGCAAGCTTGAAGAAGGATTCGACAAGTAGATGCCGAGAATGCTTGCCTTAGTCTACTCGATGGTAGAACTGCTCTATAGCTGCAAGTGGGGGTCTGCAACGCCCAAAAGCGTGATTACACGGACATTTATCAAAATTGCCCTTAAGAACTTAAGAGAGACCGCTCATAATCTCCGTTGAACCCTGACATATCTAGACTCCCTTACGGCCCCACGGGCTGTCTATTTAGAACAACTCCCGAATCTTCCGAAACATCCTGGCGCCTCCGCGACAGGCTCAAGATTTCTCTTCATGCTCCGAATGGGCTGTGGAGCTACGCCCTAGATTCTGCTTGGAAGACTATTCAAGGCATACTTTATCCTTGCTTCCGAAGTTCTAATGATTTTGATGCAGAGAAGAAGAGTCTTGGTTCTGAGTTGCAAGTTCGCACGCTGAGCATGAATTTCTCCATGGGGCTGGAAGTCGAATCATCGCAAAAGGGAGATTATGCTGGTCTGTTGCACTAGTAGGTCAGGCCATTACAGTCTTAAGCTGAACGACTTAAACTCAGTCAGAGGATTAGCTATATGCATGGCAGCTCCAGCATCCACGCGTGCTGTACGCGTGGGCGAAAAATCGCGCGTGCCCTCGGAGCCAGAACAAAGCAGGACAGGACAAGTGTTGAGCTTAGGCGGATTAAGGTTTTTGGTATAGGATTTAAAGGTTTAGGGTTTAGGGTTTAGGGCCCCTGAACCCCTAAAACCCAAACCCTAAGGTGGGGGTCCCTGTTGAGGCTGATATTTAATGTGCGTGGTCTGAAGAAAGCGAAATGCCTAGAGTCTAATTTGATGGCTTTGAGACTTCACTTTGTTTTTGGCTGCTTTCCATGTTTGGATAGAGTGGCCTAAGACTGGGGATTTTCTAGGTAGATCATGCTCAAAATGGGTCTACGTGTTAGAGATGTATTCTATATTCGCTAAGCGTAGGATCCCTACAATAAGCACATAGTTTTGGAACCGCCCAGGTAGAATCACAATGTCAACATGTGAGACCTGAAGCCGGAATGGCAATTAACCGGAAGAATGGTAGGGCCTAGAAAGCATGTAAACTCAAGCATGCAATTACTAGGTTGTTGTTGAAGGGTTTTCTACTACGTGCTATAACAAAGAAATCCCGCTATTTACCACATACCCATAACATGGAAATTCTGGCCAGGGTTCCTACTATGCCTATCCTAGATAAATGCAGAATCCTAAGCCCTGCTTCCTTCGAGAAGACAAATTCGGGCTTGCAGCGGTAGCCCTAGGGGTCCAAGTACCTAATAGTCATATACTTACCCAAAACCTGTACCATAATTACCACTACCCAAATTGCAACTACCAAAGTATTGGGTACATGGACCCTCTGGGTAGGGTCTAGTTTAGAAATTTAACGATCAGGGTTCAGATCAGAGGGCTCAAAAGGTGGGGTGAAGGAAGGTGGGGTTTAGGAAATAAGCCCAATAGTAGTAGTAGTAGTAGTAGTCGTAGTAGTAGTAGTAGTAGTAGTAGGCGTAGGGTTTATACCAGGGATCCTGAAACCCACCTACCATAATCCCACCTTTTGAGCGCCCTGATTAGAGGTCTGGGGTTCAACCTTCAGGCGTCAAGGATTTAAGTTCTCATGGTGAACAGCTTATAAGGTCAGGGTTGGGTTTAGGGTTTAGGGTTTAGTTCTGGTGAATGTGTTTTAGGCACCTGGTTGATTACATGCCGTACGATGGAGGAGGTTTTGTTGCGTGACGAAACCCTAAACCCACTTGTTGCCCGTTTGGCATCTATATAGGGTTTACGGGTATTATCCCCAATAAGGGAAAATCAGGCGGAAGACCACATGGAACATGAGATGGAAGCAAGAATTGATTATAGGGATAATCCCTAAGGGTCCAAGTACCTAATAATCATATACTTACCCCAAAGCTGTACTATAATTACTCCAAGTAACAAGTACCTAATTATTGGGTACATGGACCCTCTGGGCTGTAGGGGTAATTGCCGCTTGAACCCTCCACCCTCATTCTCCGCGGTGAGCTGCCCGCTCGGGGTGCTTGTTTACGGTGTACAGTCAGGATTTCAGGCATATGTTTCATCAACATGGGGTCCCAACATGAACCACAAATTGATCATTACTTCATACAGGTACTCTCAAAAAGGGAACCCTACTTTTCAGAAAATCCATAATCTGAAGTATACTTACTTCGTACAAAAAGTCTTTGACAAATGCAAAAATTATCACGGTGTAAAGAGACGGATGGGATTGTTGGGCGTGTAATTCATGTAGTGTGCTACAGCAACTCTGATACCTCGGGCCAGGTGCCATCAACGAGGAGCTCATGAAATAGGGTTTAGGGCAAAAAGGCTGGTTACTTCAGGGTTCCAAATCAAGAAACAGACGCTCAAGAACCATTCTGCGCCAAAGTATATGGGGACATGATGTGGTTCGTGCGCAGGGATTGCAAAAGAGGTCATTTTGAAGAACTCCGGCATGCACGGGGAAACCCAAAATGCACCTGGATCTCGCTGATCTCAATGTCCTCGGAGTTACCGACGGAGACAAGCACTATGTTGATAAACCCATCCGGACAAACCTGAATGCCAAAAAGGGTCACCGCCATACCTTGCAAGGAAGCCACGACAGCTATCCCTCCCCAATACTTTGTTGATACGAGATAGTCTACGTAACTCCCAGCATCCCCCTCATTACCTCGCAAACAGTCCCTTATGTAATCCCCGCAATATAACCCGCCTTTCAGGAGTTTTGACTATAGCTCATATGAGTAATGAGTATGCAGGTCGACTTGGGTACTTCTTCTTTTTGCGGATGGGACACAGGTCTGGGTGATAGTTTCAACAGGAGTAGCAGCACTGGTTAGGGTGGGAGAAATCGATGACCGAATTCCAGCATCATCAAAAACATGGTACTGAGGCTAGTCTTCATCGAAAGAGCCCGTGCATCATCAAGCAGAACAATGGCCAAATGTATTCCAACTACGAAACAGTATAGCTGCGTGGTACAGCAGTAGGCGTCAGGACAGTGCAGCTTTTAGCAACGGCGAGAAGTGCGATGCATCATGGCTCTCAACTAGCAACTTTTTGCATCGATCTTGTTGTTTATGAGATTAAACTCTATGTAACCCCTACATAACCCTAAACCCTAAACCCTAAACCCCTGAACATGTAGCTGGAGCATGTAGCTGGAGAACCAGGGTTGCTGATGGAGCACATTGGAAAGTGTCCACTACAACCCTGAGACTAGCTGCCTAAGGGTTCAAGGACCCAAATTATACAGTTTTTTTAGGGCCGAAATACCATTTATATTATAGTATTTGGGCCCTAAGACTCTATCATTTGGGTCCTTGGACCCTTAAAGGCTGCTTTACAAGTTTAAGTGAGGTCAGGTGAAGCCGTTTGGATTTGCCCAGCCCCCTACAATCTAAACACTTTACCCTAAACCACTTGGGACTGATTGCTTTGAAAAAGCCCGCCAAGTTTCAGATGCTTATATAGGGGTTATATAGATTTTTTCGGTTATACAAGGGTTACATAGGGGGCGGGGCTCCGAATGTTGCTGCATGCCTTTGCGTAACTGCATGAAGCTCCGTCGAATGCTCGGCCAACCATATGAGCTATAGTCTAAACTCCTTAAAGGGGGTATATAGGGCATTATATAAGGGGGAATTATAAGGGCTTAGCAAGGGGGATGCTAGGAGTTTAGACCCTAAACCCTAAACCCTGAACCCTAAACCCTAAACCCATATATGACACGCAACCTGAGGGTTTTATATACCTCTCAGGTTTCCGAAGAAAAAAAACATTATGCTAAGCCTTTCACTTAGCAAACCTGATCCCAGGCAACTCCAACTCTTTCAACCTCAAAAGCTAGCATGGGTTTAGGGTTTAGGGTTTTAGGGTTTAGGGTCTAGGGCTTCGGGTTTGGGGATCAATATGGATATAATGGGGGTTATATAGGGAGCATGGAGAAGAAAATGGAAACTCTACAGCGTTTAGGACCTAAAATTTATGTTTGGGGGTCATACAAAACACCATTACGTCGCACCCATCCTTTCTCGCCCTTAGGTACCCGGCATAGCTGCCGCGACCAACAGCCCTCATGATTGGCTCTCCAAAGCGCATCCGCGCCTGCTGTAGACATGACGTTTATGAGCAAGAGTCGAAGGCTAACGCATAGCCCTAAGGGTCCAAGTACCTAAACTTACCCAAAACCTATACTACAATTACTATTCCCCAAAACCCAAGTACCTAATCATTGGGTACTTGGACCCTAAACCCTAAACCCTAAATCCTAAACCCTGAACCCTATATACCCCTATATCCCCCCTTTAAGGGGACCTAATTATTGGGCTCAAAGCTCGGGGTCCGTCGCTGAACTGCTCACGGATTTGAATTCTTGCTTCAGGCTAAGAAGTTCAGCGGGTTGAAGGTGGGGAGTTGACTTACAGGAGGGTAGTAGGGAATATCATAAATAGGGATTACAATAAGAATTGTATTCACGTACTCCTGTATTCCCGAATAACAACCAGTAAGGGTTTCAGTGTCCTGAAAAGGAGCTAAGGCTTTCTTGGCCTATCCTGGCGTTGTCGCTTGAGTGCCCAATTTGTCATGCCTGGAATTGAAGGAGAAGTTCAAGTTTATTCTTTTGTCCTAGGGTAGGGTTATAGTCCCCTTGAGGTAGATGGAATACGGGGTATGTAGGGATCTTCTTTTTTCCATACCCAAAGCCATCCTCTATCTACTTAAGGGGGACTATAGGGCTTTAGGCTTTAGGATCTTCAGCGGAGGCATACCAACCAAAGGGACAAGTACGTGCGGCAAAAAACATACTACGGCCATGGACTGTTGATGCCGCAAAGGGCCTCTTTTTGTGACCTTTCTTGGCTACAGCTCCCTGAGACCCATGATCCAAAACAGCGTTTGAATGCCTGCTGGCGACACATGGCAGTAACGTACTCGGCCACTGCTTGGTAGAGTTGAGAGGATGACCTTGGGCTCATGACACTCGTACAGTAAACGGCTGGGGCTTGCCTGCGAAGTCCAGCCAGCTTCGAGTCCAGAGAACAAGCCAAGGCAGTCGTTGAGGGAGTACTTGCAGTGGCCGGAATGGTCAGGAATGCATGGTACGACACACCCTACCCACTAAAGCCTAAACCCTATACAAATGCAGTTGAGCCTCCCTACTATTGGCCACTCTCCGCGACTCTGTACAAGCCACCCCATCCTCGTATGTGACCACTGTCTTGGGTGTTTCCAGAAATCAGGAACCTCTTGCGGGAGTCCTTTTTTTGTGGATTACAATATATTTCGGCCTATATTGGCATCCCATAGTCTTTTCGGTGAGTGTATACGTGGTTCCTTAGAAACATATTTTTGAGTGTATGCACTCGGTGTCTATTTATTTTGGGGGACCAGAAGATATCTTCCTTACCATATAGCATCAAGGACAGTCAAGGACTTAAGCCAGCAACAAACCCAACACCGGAAACCCTGAATCACAGGCCTCTTGGTTTGGGATTTAGGGCTGAGGAGTTGGGGTTTTAGGGTTTAGATTTAAAATTAGGGTTTATAGGGTTTAGGGACTACTGCCCCAGCATCCACCTCAACCCGTTGCTTACCCCGCTCTGCAACTATATGAGCATGCAGTCTAAACTCCTTAAACGGGGTTATATAGGTGATATGTTGGGAGTATTATAGGGCTTATTAAGGAGGATACTAGGAGTTCAGACTATAGCTCACATAAACCCTCAACATTGAACCGTAAACCTTAAACCCCATTCTTGTACTCGCGCGCTCTGAAGCAAATGTCTGAACACGGTCACCCTAAACATTGAATCATCGCAATCTCAAAGACTGGGGTAGAATTAGAAGCCTCATAAATTTAGGGAAGTTTAGGGTTTAGGGTGTAGGGTTTCCTGGCTTGACAGGTTTCATATGGGGACTGGGGTATTATGAACTAAGGATTTGTTGAAAACCTACCCCTGAAGAGGCTGCTGCACACGAATAGCAGTGCAAACTTCTGGGTTGCTGTTAAGGAAGTTAAATTAAGTTACCATAATGGGTATATATGGTAAATAATAAGGTTTCCCCAATATCGTAACTTAATTTAAGTTCCTTAACAGCAAGCCAGACTTTCTCGCCGGGTTTCCCGGAGAAATCCATGCACCAACGTGTTCTGCCCAGAAATACGTGTCTTTCATCCCTAATGACCTTAATCTGCATTTGAAAGCACTGGGGCCTTTGATAATCGGGCAGGTTGACCTATTGTGAGCCGATTTCTGCATCGCACCTGCCCTGGAAGTAGATTGGAGGGGGTTTGGGTACTGCGGTTTTAGAACAAGCAAACACTACAGCGCGTTTTCAAGATAACCAAGCCTAACCCTAAACCCTGAACTCTAAACCTTGGGTACTGCCCCCCCCTCACTAACAGTTGGATACTGACTATAATATGGTTATATATAGCCCTTAATAGGACCCCTGGTATAGACTGTTACTGGGTGGGGGCAGTACCCAATCTAAACCCATACTTTTGCAAAGGACCTTGCCTTCTCTAGTGTGGGCGACTGCGAATCCAGGGCGCGGAACGCCAGGAACACGACCTGAGAAGGAAGGGCTACCATTCAGTTGTAAGGTTTAGGGTTTAGGATTTAGTGTTTTGCGTTCAGGGTTTAGGCTTTCAGGTTTAGGTGTAGGGCTTAGGTAACAAAGTAAAGGGATTAGGATTTCAGGTTTAGGATTTAGGAGGCTCTCAAAAATGTGGGGCATCTTTACGGGTCCTAGGGGCATGTAGAGCCTATATAGAGCACTGTAGGGCTGCCTGGGTTGGTTAGGGTGGTTTTGATAGTGGTTGGAGTATGGGGCTGAGGTTGCACCCTTTAAGCCCTTGCCCCCCTCGACACCGAAGAAACAACCAGAGCAACATGTCAGAAGCAGCTGTCTTCAAGAAAAGCGGTCAGCAGAGGTTTAGAAAGAATGGCAACAAACCGAAGCCTCAAGATATCTATATTGTCTATAGGGCCCATGGGCGGGTTTACTGCGCATGTGGTAGCAACCTGCTGGAGCAGTTCGACCCTTTCCTTACTTCATGATACCACAAGACTGCAAAACAGGGGGTCAAAGAAGCGGCCGAAGCATGAGCATGATCATTATGGAGGACCCCCCCACCCTGTAACTGTGGTAAAATGGGAATCTAACAGGCCCCTAATATAATCCTTATTATCCCTTAAAGTCACTATTACTGGGTGGGGGATCCACCTAAATGGGGGGGGTTTCCCAAAATTATGGGTACCTTGTTGGGAGTCCCCATAACAAGGGCTATAGTATTTTGGGGTCTATATTCAGGTTCCGCTATTTGGGGAAACTACCAAATTATGTCCAAGGCTGATGACGGAGCAACATCTTTCAGCCGGTGTCCTGGCAAGTGTATGGCTCCGGACACCGATTCACAACCAGGCTGTTTAGGGTTTAGGGTTTAGGGTAACTCTCCCCCACAACAGTTACACATAGGACTTAGGTGGGCCCCCCACCCAGTAACATTGACTATGAGGGATAATGATAATCATATTAAGGTCCTCTTATAACCCTATTATGCTACTATTACAGGCTGGGGAGGGGGCCTCCTAACCTATAACAGTCACACATAGGCCCAGTGTTCGAGGTTCAGTGTTTCCCTTACTTCAGTTTAGGGTTCAGGGTTTAGGGTATGATTTAGGAGGACCCCCCACCCTGTAATAGTGGTATAATAAGAAAGGACCCTAATATAATCCCTATTATCCCTTATAGTCACTATTACTGGGTGGGGGCGTCCACCTAGGGTATAATCCAAAACATACCAATTCCACTACTTGCCCCAAAAAGGAGTCAACCCCTGGCCTCTGCCCTGCTGTTTATTAGGGTTTAGGGTTTACGGCTTAGGATTTAGGTTCACGGGTTTAGGGCTCTGTTTATTAGGGTTTAGGGTTTAGGGTTTAGGGCTTAGGATTTAGGTTCGCGGCTTTAGGGCTCAGGATGTAGGATCTAGGGCCTCGGGTTTAGGGACCCTACGGTTTAGGGCTTAAGGTACAGGAGGACGCACATATCCCAAGGCCCTGAAACCTAAAGCTGCCTGAAGAGGCACCTAGAATCGATGCTAACGCCAGAACATCAATAGCAATAGTGGTAATTAATCAGGATACCAGTAACAAACATGTAATCATAATAGTGATAAAAGCAACAGTAATCACCAGCAATCATGGTCATGATAGTCCTGCAATCTCCACCCTCTACAGTAACCCGACGTAGGCTCAAAATCGTGGATCCAAACTAGGAGCCACAAACCATGTATCCAGGGCTACGGCCGTGTTGACACAGGCCAAGCCCAGCATAAGGTATCTTGGAAATTGAGGTTTCGGTGATTGACTTGGGCAACGTTCATGGCGCATAGCATTTCATGGAGGTGGTGTAGGCTCAGTTCTGGGCTGCCGGGTACAGGGTTCATGGCTGAGGGTCTAGATTGTACTCCCAGGTTCTGAGTAGGGAATAAAGGAATATGCTATACATAGTGCTTATACCTGGATTTATTCCCTTGTTCCCTATTAAGAACCAGTGAGTCTAGATGTTGGGCAAACTGTCTGACAGCCCAGACTTACAAGCAGCAGCAGCAGCCTTCCTTGTCTGGCCTCTCGTGCCCTGAAAAAGCCAAGGTCGGTATATTACGAACCACCACCCCATATACTGCAGAGTATTGGGATTCTGGTTCGGGGACCCCACGAAGGGACCCAGAGCTCTGGCACTTCCGGAAGAAAGGGTGCAACCGTTTTTATGGCTCGAAGTCAAGAAATCACTCATCCCAAATATGGTTGCAGGAAACGTTTGGGTGGCCCTGGAGGGCCTGGTTCCAAAGTCAGGGTCTAGCACGCGGTTTACGTTTCAGGGTTAGGGTTACATCATTACCTCTTGTGGGAATGGATACCTCAGGTAGAAATCCCAGCGCCAAGCTCGCAATATGAACATTTGCTGGATCCTCGTGGGGGGGGGGGCCTGACATTGAAGACAACCTTAACTCAATCCCAGGACCGTGCCTCATCCTGTTATACTTGTGCTACAATCGTTTCGAGTGCTTGCCATACAGCGCATGGTATTAGAAACCTCTTGAAGAACACACCAAAGAATGTCTGGTTTTTGGGAAACCCCATTTCAATCAGAGCTGAATGAGTCCGCCCAGGTACAGCATCTCGTGGGTGTGCTCAGCAGGTACCTGACCCGAGCATGATGGGCATATTCTCTCCTCGAAAGATGCAGCAACACCCAAAAAAAAAGCCAAAAGCTTGGCCGTAACATTAGGGGCTGGGGTGTACTTCCCCTAAGGGTCCAAGGACCCAAATAATAAGGTTTTAGGGCCCAAATACTATAATATTAATATTAATGGTATTTGGGTCCTAAAGCCCTATTATTTGGGTCCTTGGACCCTTAGGGTTCGGGACAAAATTTAGAGGGGTTCCAGAAGGGGAGTCAGAACATTTCCAACAGAACAGAGCTTAGGATGCCTCGTCAGATTATTGCTTGGGAGTTAACCCAGAGGGTCCATGGATTTGGGTAATAGAAATTATAGTACAGGTTTTGGGTAAGTACATGATTATTAGGTACTTGGACCCTTAGGGTCAGGGATGAGGGAGACCCCAGATTCATTTTTACTTTGGTGTTTAATTAGAACCTATGCCTGGCATCTCCTAGGAAGCAAAACCAAGCCTTCGACACTCTTTCGTGTTTTTTTCTTCTGCTTGTGGGCCCTTTGCGGGCTTCAAATATAGCACGGCACCTGTCTTTTGAGCCACCAAAACTGGGACCCGCATTTTGTCAACATCCCAAAAGATAAGGGGACCCCAATGTAGACACAAAACTACCGACACCCTTACTATGGGGATCCCAAACAAAGGACGTGAAGTCACTGGAAACACCCAAATCTTGGGAACGTCCCCCGTCTGAAGCCCAACTTGGTAGTCCAGTAACCATATTACAATAAGGGTACCCTTTTTTCTGTTGGTATATTATATATGGGAACCCAGAACCCAAAAAGGGTAAAAGGGTACCACTGGGGTTCCTAGCCAAAGTAGCTTGCGGCCGGAGCACAGCTAACAAGCTCAAGGGAGCCTCGGAATGCGGCTGAGGGCGTAGATCTACGGTTTAAGGTTGTCCGTCAGGGCTCATGGGTTGTAATACTGAATTGGGTCAGAAGTAGGACAACTCTACCTAGACCCCAAAAGTATGTAAAATAATGGCCCTAGAGGCTATTATTATGGGTCTAGGGCCATTATTTCACATACTTTTGGGGTTTAGGTAATTACAACTGGTTAAAGTTTCAGCGCTTCAGGCTTCCTCCATGGGGACGCTTGACCATGCACTTTCAACTCTGCCCTGGACCCTAATTTGAGGACCGCAAATGAAAAAACCCTAAATCCTGGACCCTGAACATCCCTAAAGCGTTTTCAAGGGAAGCCTACTGACTGGCCGCAAAAACAGGGAGCCCACATGTGGACCCCAATAAATCAGAATCATGACAATAGATGTCCCCAAAGAGGTGGCTCTAATCCGTGGATACCTCCACTATCTCTGTTGCTGTTGCCCAGGGCCCACACCCTCCCTATGCAATGACCATAAGCCTGAATGCCCACTTGATTTTTGCAAGGACTTCCGAAACATGTGCTGGTGCTTCACAAACAAATGCTAAGACCTCTTCTTCAGAAAGTTCCACATGGGAACCTGGGTGCCTGAGAACCTCAAATGCGGTGGTAGAAGCATTGGGGCCGAGAAGCCCGAAAACATCAACACATCCGAATGCACGCCCAGAACCGGAAGCCTAAAACCGCCCAACCCCAAAGCGCCAATCCCTAGACTCTTAATCCCGAACCCTACACACCAAACCCTGAACCCTAAAACTTTAAACCCTCAAGACTCTAAGCCTAAACTCGAAGCCCTGAACTGCCCCAATATTGGGGTTATAATGGGATAATGGAAGATAAAATGGAAGCTACTATATGTTATATAAATAAGAAAATATATCATGATATAATATAATAAAAAAACCGAAACACCACTCCACTGGGGCTTCAAGCTCGCCCGCTGCTCCCGGGACTCCTTTATTGGAGGCTCAAAGGGAACGGAAACCCTGGGGATCCAATCACTTTGGGGTGTGGGGTTCAGGGTTTAAGGTTTTATGGGTTTAGGGTTAAGGGTTTGGCGTTTTTTGGGGTGCAGGGTTTTGGGTTGGGGTGGGATCCACTCAATTGTACAAGGTTTATATAGGGTTATGTTGGACCATAGAACGACTTCACAAGGATTATAGAGGGACATACGAGTAGCGTTTTTTTGGTGGTTGAACCTAGTAAGATAATGTTCCTCATATAGAAGACTATACCCAAAAGGAGGATAAAATCTTACTCTATGTTGGGTACCACAGTATCCACAAATAAAATACTACTCATATAGGGATTCTATTGGGCTCGGGCGGTTCAGGGATGAGGAATACTACTCTAGACGCCTCTCTAAGCCCTAAACCTTGAACCCTAAACCCCTAAACCCCCAAACCCTAAACCCTACAGCGCAAACCCTAGAGCTCATCCACGGTGGGGCCGTTGTGCGTTGAGACGCCCTGAACCTTACAATTCAAGTAGAGATTAAGTTTTATGTAGGGTTTAGGGGGCAATTGAAGGACTGAGTACGTAGTTGGGATAATTGGGGCTTTATCTGGCCTATAAAGGTTACATATATATATATGTATATATACTTGCTAAGTCCCCCTCACCCTGCAAGCATAATTACGCTAATTCTAGTCAAATAGACAAGGCGGGGAATCGTGCAAATCCGGAAGTTACGGCATATGAAGTGTCTTGTCGTAGTTGTATACTCCGTCGTGCAGATACCTATGTATGTGCTCACGACTATGGTATCTTGGCAATTGAAACATGCGGGGTCCCCCATCTACCCCGACGTACTATAGGCCTTACTCTGGGGACCCACCGATACTTCTGAAACATCCCACGTACAATCGCAAACGCAATGTCTGAGCGCTACCTCTAAGAAGGAATGCGGTTTGGTTTCAGAACACCCAGAAGGGTCAGCTGTTGCTTGAAGCACTTCAATATATATTACGTGTATATATATATATGCAGCAACAGAGACAGTAGTCTTCAGAATAAACAACTGTAAGGTTCAGCGTATATACAGGTTGCTGTTTTTGAGTTTGCTTGGTGGTTTTGCCATGGATCGACTCTAGACCCTTGCGTGCAGATTCCGTATCCCTCTCGTTTCGTTCGTCTCCGTAGAACAGAAACCTTGGATAAACCTAGAAATACACACGTGTCATGTGCACGGTGCTGTGCCTTTTGATCAGCTCGTCCTGGTAACAGACCCTCCCCCATGCTGCAGATAAAAGATTTCACGACACAGTGCCACTCCACCCTTCAGAGAAATTGTTGTAGTTGGCTTCGGAAATCCCAGCCCAACTTTTTGTGTCACCTTGAGCCAGCTGTAAGGTGACAAAGCTCCCTAAACCCTGAACCCTAAATGAGCTATAGTCTAAACTCATAGTATCCCCCTTAATGAACCCTATAGTAGTCCCCATATAATCCCCTACATACCCTTCTGTAGGGAGTTTAGACTCAAATGATTAGCCCC